GGAATAGAGATTAGAATGAAAATTTGTAAAATAAATTAACATTAGTTATAATCATAAAGAAGGTTTAAAACCATAGCATCACGGTATGGCATGCCGGTTTGACAGCCGCGGATATAAAAAACATTACAGAAGGTGGTGAGGACAGCACAAAACATCATGGGCTGCCCCCTCACACTACTAGATGAGATCGCTAGGGCTCGCTGCCTTAGAAGAGGGAGGAAAATCCTCAGGGACAACTCTCCCCCTGGACCTCTCTACTCTCCTACCATCGGGAAGGAGATATAGAAGCATAGCCAGGTGCACAAACAGGCTGAAGAACAGTTTTTATCCATGGGCTGCCAGACTCCTGAATGTGAAATAACATGACTATTTAGTAGTACGAAGGACTGGCAGGGTCGGCGCAATGTGTAACATGTTCACACTGGTGCAATAGGCCTGGGAGTTTGTTAATATGATTTATTGGGTTAGGGATTTTCTGTCTTCACTGTCAGTTGTATTGTGTTGGGGGAGGGATGCACTGAGGGAGCTCAACCAATCTCATTGTACATACATTGTACACTGACAAATAAATAATTCAATTCAGTGACTTGCCTCCTTGACCTACAATGCGGGCTTATAGTTCTTAGTTTGTTAAATGAAAATGCACTCTGGCTTCCTGTTCTAAATAAATCCCACATTCCAATTCAGATGGATCTATTTCTTTAATTTCCTTATCAATGTAAAATAATAATTATAGGTAGACCACAATTGAGCCCAAAATTTCTTCTGCAAACTGAGACATTTGTTAAGTGAGTTTTATCCCAATATACACCCTTTCTTATCACAGTTGTTAAGTGAATCTGGTTCACCGACAAATGCGCGCCGACAAAAGCGCGACGTCAAAAGGGCGGCGACAAATGCGTGCTGACAAAAACACGCCATCAACAAACAACGTATTGGGACGCGAAAACAACGTTATAACTCTAACCCTAATCGCGCTTTTTTCAGCGCGGTTTTGTGGGTGCGCTTTTGACGTTGCAGTTTTGTTGCCGCGGATCTGTCAGCGCGCATTTGTCGGGTCACAGTGAATCAGTGAATCTGGCTTCCCCATTGACTTTGCTTGTCAGGAGGTCTCAAAAGTGGATCACATGACTCCACAATATTACAACAGCCATAAAGATGAGTCGGTTGCTAAGTGTCTGAATTTTGATAAGATGTCCATGGGGGATGCTGCAACATTTGTTAATATAAGTATGAAAAACGGTCATATGTCGCTTTTTTCAGTGCCATTGTAACTTTGAATGGCCTCTAAACAAACTGTTGTAAGTTGAGGCCTACCTGTACTAGTAAACAGTAGAAATAATGTGTGGCTGATTTCTATAAGCTTATTCTTATTTTAAAAACAAACTTTAACATTTGACAATCTAAATGTCAAAAGTTCCTTACATCTCAAATGCCACAATCGCTCATTATTTTGCAAACGCGTTTTTGAATAAACAATAAAATTCCAATATTCACACAGCTGAAATTGGCACTGGAAAAATAAGGTAAGTATTACATCCTATTTTCAAAAATAGCTTTTACACGATAATGACTTATGACAAACTTTGTGAAGCACTCCTATTTTAATTTAACACTTCTATTTCTACTTAATTACTTAGTTCACACCAAAGCTTTTCTAAGTAACAAACACATCTACATGTTCTTGCTCCTGACACTTGTTAAGAGAGTGAAACATAGCAAACACTTCAAATGTGACTAACGCCAGTTCGGTGATTTGTTTTAAATAAGTAAAGAAGAAACTCTTATAAAGCCTCACTCAAGGCTGAAGTATTCAAGGTGTTATTACAGAAAGCAGAGTCCATATAGTTTGTGGAAAATAGCTTGCGTTTTTCTTTCTTATCATTGTCATATTCATTTTGGGGGGAGAAATATCTAAGTAGAACATATGAAACTTAATTTTAATTTGTTTTAATATCACTGCATATCAGTTTTTCAGTAATATATTTCAACTCATTTTTATATTGCCTGCTCCTTATAAATTCTTAAACATCTTTACGCAGGTAAAAAAGCAATGTATTAAGACAAATTTCATGAGACGTTAAAATCCCATCCCTCTTTTTACCAGCAAGAGAAATCTTTCATTCTGTCTCCAAAACACATTCTTGAAATATCCACAATATGAGATATTTATTTATTTATTTATTTATTTATTTATTTATTTATTTATTTATTTATTTATTTATTTATTTATNCAACTTCAGACTTGGTTCTAAATGCCTTGAACAAAAGAATTTTAAAAAGAATAGTTAGTTTTATGACACCTACAGTTTGACCTAAGCTTAGTACATAAAATTGTCTGCTACAACGTCCTACCTGTCAATGACTACCTGAAATGACTACTTCAGCTTCAACCGCAATAATACAAACAATAGATACAAACTCAAAGTAAACCGCTCCAAACTCAATTGCATAAAATATGACTTAGGCAACAGAGTGGTCAATGCCTGGAATGCAATACCTGACTCTGTTGTTACATCCTCAAACCCCCAAAAGTTTAACTTTAAACTGTCTACTGTGGACCTCACCCCATTCCTAAGGCATCTGTAAGGGGTGTGCATAAGAGCACCATCATGCCTATCGTCCCTGTCCTACTATTCCTATTTATTTGTACTCACTTCTTATGTATATATGTATACCTGCTTATACTTATATGTTTATATGTTATATTCATACTTATACTTGTTTTCTCATACATGCTTGACAACCTAAATAAATAAAATAATAATCCAGGAAGTGTCTGCCTCCTTCCTACCATTTCATATTGTTGTAGCTGCTGCTACTGCTATCATTATTACTGCAATACTCCAACACTTACCACAAGAAAACTTTGTTGAGAGATGAGTAGGTCAATCAGAAAAGGCATGTAAGACTGAGGGTGTATCTATAGAAAGTAGATCAACATTAATGAAATAGCTTGTCCACTGGGGAAGATTTTTTTCCAAGAGCTTTTAGAGTTACATTTGGGACAAAGCATTCTTATATCTTAGATGATACTGACACATTTCTCACCAATCTATGGGGATTCTAGTTTCCAAATAAATAAATACATTTTATTTTACTTCTCAGAAATATCTTACCTATTTTTCCAGATTGCAATTCATTTTGGATTTTGGGTAGAGACAGGAACTGTATTTTTCTTTGATATTACTGTTCCGTCAACTCCCATTTTTATATATGCAAACATATTCTGGCCAAGAAGTGCAAATATTTAAAATTCCTTTGGCCATGGTGTAATTGAAAATTTATTTATAATATTTATAAATAGTAGATTATTTTATCCCCATTTAGAACTTTAGATCTTCCAGAACTTTTAATATTAGGCTGCTTCATTCTCAGGAATTTTCCTTGCTGGAACGAAGAAGTTTTTAGTGCCTTATGTGTTTTCTATCACAGAAACCACAATACCCTTGTATATAAAGACAGGACTCTTATCTTCTGCTCAAATGGTATTTTGTAATCTGGTCTTTAGAGTTCAGAACAATTTGGCAGATTAATTGTCTTTAAATATGAGCATGATACAGATGTCTTCATAGAGATCTTTGATTGCATGGAGAATTGTAACCATGGTCAGGCAACCATGATTATAGCTTATCTCCATACTTTCTCTAACAATATGAGGCAGTCAGAGGAAAAGAGCAGAATTAGGTGACCCATTTTCTTCTTTGATTCCATTTGCCAAAAGTCTAAAAGAATTAATTTGTGAAGAGCATTCTAGGACTATAAACATGCATAAATAAATGTGGGGTACAATATTACAGGGCCGACACACTATATTTATAATAACAAACAATGTTTGAGAAAAATGGCTTAGTAAATTCTCCATTGATGAGAGAAGAATATAGTTGTGTTCACACATGATAACTGGGAATTTTTAACCATAACTGTTAAACAAACCAAGATTAGTCAAATGCATAGACATATAGGTATAGCCAATAACTTGACTATACCTATTAACAATAAGTCAAACAATGGTTTACCAACCACAGTGACTGCAATTACAAAATATACTAAATCAAATCCACACTACTCACATTTAAAAACATAGGATCATCACTGATATGAGAACTGGCACTGTGGGGGTCATATTGAGGCAATATTTCTGCCATTATTAGAATACTTAAGATATTTCTGCCATCTATAATACTAAACTAGTCATCAAACATTTTTTAAATTATATTAAAGTTTATTATAAGATACAATTACAAAAAGAAGCAAAAGTTTGAAAGATAAAAGAAGAAAGGGTGCAAAGAGAATAAAAAAAAGTAGTGACTTCCAACTTTTTTCAATGCAGTAGAATACCAAAAAAATATAACCTCAATATTTTAGTTTTACATTTCTAAATACTATTTCTATAACGACAAAACCATTCTAATAATCAAAACCAAGACTCAAAGTTTTGTTTTTTTTCAATTTCAAGCAAAAACTCCAGAAGTGGTTTCCAAATAGAAACTGAACTAGATAAATTCTTCCGTTTAATTAAAACAATCCATCATCTTTACCATCCATTCTTCTACTGTGAGAATCAGTGTGTCATTCCATTTTTGTGCATAAAAGATTCTTTAGTCATCAAACATTCCAAATGCCTGCCATTTGTAACTATATCCATCCCTCACTTACCCTGTGTATATTTGAGTGCAAACCCCCCCCCCCGATGTGCATAATGTGTGGGTGTTTTATTCAGTGAAGCTGATGCCTCTTGTATTTTATAAAATTTCTACATAGAAGTTTTTCATGCCATGTGGCAGCATCTGGCCTATTCTGTCTGGACTCAGAAGCTAAAGCATATAAAGCTTGGTCAAACGAATTCATTCCATGACACGCATATGATACAGGCGATACTAATCGATCAGTGATGTACTCATATTTACTAACATTAAATACTAATGTTAAAGAGTACATTATTGGATAATATATTAGATAGTATCATGGACTTCATTTTTATTTCTCTCCCTAGATCTGGTTAGTGGCTATTCTATGACACCACCCATTCTCAGCATCACAGAAGAGGAATATATCATCAATGCTAAGGAGACCTTAAATATTACTTGCAGGTAAGAGTCAAATAAGAATGTTTTTCATGCGGCTTCATCTGTTTGTGATGTGGTCATTTTTTCTCAAAGAGCATTCACAGCCATTTGAAACATTGGAGACCTCTTGTTATCTTTAGCATTGCTGAAAAGACTGGATGTAAATTGATTCATTAGGACTACATAAAATAGACTTGTAATTTGGACTGCCATATCTGGCGGCAAATCTTTTGAACACTGCATAAATTCAAAGCATAATGATAGAATAACAGGGAAAGTTGTAGATGTAGGAGAAAGGAAGGCAATATGTGTATTCATGTTTCAAACTAATTTGGTACTTTGTGTAAAACAAAGAATAACATTTTGTAATTCACTATAGCAACTTAAAATGAAGATACTATTTGGATTAGCCTTCCATTTGAGGAAACCTGGATTAATAAAATGCATAGCACACTGACCTGCCAGATTTTTTGTATCTATTGTATCTAAATTTAAGAGTTTGTCAGCATAGTCATGACTTGTTTATCAGCAAGAACTACATAGATACTTGCTCTGTTTTTTTTAAATTAATAATTGTTGAGTAAGAGATTTCTTGTGCATAGTACTAACACTGATTAGTTCCTACTTTAGACAAACCGTAAAACCAGCATTTATTGAAGACAAGTATGTACATATTTAGTTACTACATAGTCGTCAGACAATTGCTTTGTATTAGGAAGTTTTGATGGACATCAACAAAAGGAAAACAAAATTTCTTATCCCCTGAGTGAGTAATGCAGGGGTGGGATTCTACTAGTTTGGGAGAACCAACAGTTCAAACTATCAGCTAGGAGCGAAACAGTTCACTCCGCCTTTCAGCTGGGCCTGCCAGCCCACCCCTGTGCTATATTCACCTATATTGCCTTTTCTGAAGCCCAGCTGACAGGCATGGCAGAGTGGATTGCCACACTTCAGCTGTTATCCTCCTCAGCATTAAGGCGAAAGGTGATTTCTCTGTAAACTGTGCACAAATGCACAATGCGCATGAGATGCATGCGTGAGTGAAGCACACACACGCTCAGTGAACCGTTTGTTAAACTCATAGGATCCCACCCCTGGAGAAATGCCTTTTATTTCATATTTCCTCCAAAGAAGAGAAAGCAGTTATATGAACATATTTTTAGTCCAAATCGCATTTAAGCAATAATTTAGATGACAAAGTCTCAGAGGACATAGGAAAGTTTCTAATTTCCAAACTGGAATCTTATATGAAAAGTTGCTATTGCCAAAGTAAAGAGGCTGATCTGTACTGTAAATCTTCCCAAAGAGTATAGCCATCCCTTTGTTTTGATCCAGTTTATCCAGAGATAATAACCTGATATATTCATATCAAGACAAGAAGATTAAAATATGATTATGTTGTGCTTCCAAACTCTAAATTTGCTGAGAAAGAATTTTGCAAGAATATTTGTGTCTCTTAGCCCTTGCCTCCTACAAAGTTCAGATCCCCTATTCTCTATACACCTACAGAAGAATCATCTATTTTTTTGTATTTCCCATCCTGAGATTTTTATGTAGTGCATACTGACATTTTGTGAAGGGCCACATATAAACATCTATTTACTCCCAAAACATGTCTAGAATGGTATAGGGCAGTGATGGCTAACCTTTTTGTCCTCATGTGCCGAAATCACACGCACGTGACCACACCCTCAATGCAATGCGCCTCACTCCCTGCACATGTGACACTGCCCCCGTGCATGCGCGCATTCAAATATTTTGGAAACCGGTTCTCTGCCTGGGTGCTGGGTGGGCGTGGCCTTGGTGGCCATGGCATACTTGGCTTCCTGCACCATGGCAGTGGGGGTCATTTTTTACCTCCCCAGGCTCTGGAGGCTTTCCTTGAGCCTCTAGGAGGGCAAAAATGGCCTCCCCAAGCTCCAAAGGCCATCCGGAGGTCAGAAATGACCATGTTTCTGGACTTCTGGAACTTCCGGGGGGGCCATTTTTCACCCTTCCCGTCTCCGGAGGCTTTCCTCAAGCCTCCAGGAGAGCATGTGTGCCATAGATTCACCATCAATAGGTATAGAGTGACTAGAAAACCACCAAGATCCCTTCCAATTCTGTTATTCTGTCCATTGATTATACTTTCACATTTAAAAAAATCACTACACAATAATTGCATAGAATTCTTTCACCTATGGGCACTGAAATGCAATCAATTAATTTAAAAATTGCAATTCTTGAAGTAATACAACGAAGACTTTGGTGATAGCATGTGGCTCACTACAGAGCTTTCTGGCATAAGGCATAGTGATGGACCTTGATTTCAATTGTATTAAAGGAGGACTTATGAAGAAGTAGTCCATCAGCTATCATGATCAGCATAGTCTGCCTCTAGAAATGAAAACAAAATTTCAGTAGCTGATCTTACATGATACTTTTATCCATCATAAACTGAACCATGGTTTGTTTAATTAAAACATTTTCCATGTTTGTATGATACACAGTACATAATTTAACAAAAGAGCTTGGGGTTATGCAATGTGCCAAATGAAAATGGTGTCACTGTGGATTGCCAGGAGACATAAGCTGGAGGCATCAATACATTTCTTGTTGACATTGGTGCGGCATCTGTTTGACACTGTGAAAAATAGGGTTTTATTTATTAAAATATTCTAATATGATGCAAATAGGTCTTGGATTCTCAAAGCACTTCACATGAAGTTAATTTCATAGCATTCTAAAGCTGGGTTAAAGTATTTATGAAAATATCTTTCAGAATCGTATGTGCATTTTCAGTATGCATGTGATTAAAAAAGTTCCACGTAGTTATCTTATGGAAACTGACAGCAGAAATGTGTAAGAAACAGGGCATCTCTCGTTTTATGCAAGTTCAAGTATCTGTCAAATCAGCAAATATTCCGTAAGAGAGGCAAGTTACTACTATCTACAATTTGATAATATGACAGCAGTGCCAGCTTGTAGCTGTCATTATAGAAAAGAGGAAATTTGACCAGTCTCCTCTCCCTACTTCTCACGGATAGACAGCAGCCAAATATTATTAGAAGCATGAGATTTTAGGACAATTCTGGTTTATAAAAAACCGAACAACTGTCAATATTCAAAATTAAAAAGCAAGAAGCCTTTAACTGGTCTTCCTCCCTCCCACTCCTTCCCTCCCTCCCTCCTTCCCTCCCTAAGAATCATCCCCTGGATACCTACAGTAATTGCATTTTTTAAAGCTGGCAACCAGGAAATAGGCCTATAAAGTTTGTAATATGTGTGCTGAACTATGGATAAGTCTGGGTAAGTCTGCAAAGCACTGCAGTGCCTTATAATTTTGATTCTCCCTTTATTATCCTTCATGTGTATTGTTCAATATAATTTTGTTGGTTAAAAAATTTGAGACTTATGCTTCAAAACACCTGAAGGACACTGAGTAGGGGAAAGCTGCTGTAAAATTTAGAGACAGCTGGAAGGAATCCCTCAATGCTTGAATTAAAGTAAAGTATCACATTGCTTTGAAGCCTAGTACATGACACATTGGGGAATCTGATTAGCAAACAAACATCACAAATGGAAGCTAGTATTGGTAGACATCTAGCTTTTCTTGACTCTTTTACTATCACCACTTATGTCTGCCTTAGTCCTTGCTGCTTGGTCCAACTGGCATACATAGTCTCTAGACAATAGCAATAGAATAACAATTGCACTTAGACTTTAAAGCATTCTTTAATTGGTTTATAGAGTCAGCATATTGCCCGCAACAATCTGGGTCCTTATTTTCCCAACTTCGGAAGGCTGGAAGGCTATGGGCAGAGTCAGCTTGCAATACTGGATTCTAACCACTGTGCTACCATGGCTCCTGCAGAGACTTGACTGGATGGATGGACTTCCTTCCTCCCTCCCTCCCTCCCTTCCTTCCTTCCTTCCTTCCTTCCTTCCTTCCTTCCTTCCTTCCTTCCTTTTCTCCTCTTTGCAATGTAAGAAGCATAAAGGCCATTATTACAGCTTAAAAAACTTTGCAATGTGACTTTACTGGCAGAAAGAATGGGAGAAGGAAATATTAGAACACAAGGCTTGTCATAGACAAGAACATGGTAATCCATCTAACCCACGTTTTCTTCTTCTTTTGGCTGAATAAAGAGGACAACATCCTTTGGAGTGGTTGTGGCCTGGCATTCAAGAAGACACTGTCCAAATGGGAAAGGAGAGCGACTCAATGATAATGAGCATCAGCGGCATCCGAACAGTCAAGGAAGAAGATTGTGAGGGCACTGAAACAAAGCCCTATTGCAAGGCCTTGACACTGACTGGGACTCAGGCCAACGACACAGGTTACTACCGCTGTTACTACAAGTACATCAATGCCAAAATAGAAGGCACCACTGCTGTCAGCACCTACGTGTTTGTGAGAGGTAAGAGGGGAAAAAGACTTGCTCGGCCAAACAATGCAGATTAAATTCTTAAGTGTATATATTCCTTGGCCAAAAGCTATAATAAAGCTTTTTACAATGTGATGAGAATTCAGCATTCAAAAAGTAGATTAATGAAGGATATCTTATTTGCACTTTAAATTTTTATTAGGAAAAAAAGAGAGATGATCCCACCTCTTGAAATGGAGATACAGCATCATTTTGAGCAATGCAAGATAAAATTTGTCAGGAGAAAATTTACTAGAATACTTCTATCCTGAAATTTGTCTGTCGTTGTGCTTGTTAACTAGCAACACTGCCATCAGATTCCTATGCCAGCTTGTTTCTTTCTTGCCTATATAACTAGAAAGTATTTTTTTAAAAAACAGCTGCATGTACCACATCAGAATTAATAGTACACAATCCTAGGGCCAATATGTGAATAGTGACTTGAAAGTAAGGGGTTCTTGTGTTCAGGTTGATCCTCATAGGATTCATGAGGGGAGCTCAGAAACTCTCTGCTGATTTTGCAGTCACACGAGATAATTGGATTCTTCCATTTATGTATTTTCATTTTATTCAGTTGTAGTAACAACTTTATTTAAAGAGGTTGATGGGTAATGTGTAATATACATAATAAATGGTTGGTAAAGTTAATGTAACACAATACAGCTAACATGGTGACAAAAAAATAATAACTTTTCCATTAAACTTCAGTTATGAACATCTAATAAGGGTTTTTTTTACACACACATGCCCTGGTGAAAAAAATGTATCTGGAATGTCTCAAAAAGTAAATTAGAATCCAGGCGTATCTCTTTAGGAAGGGCATTCCACAGCTCAGAAATAATTTGTAATTATGTAGTTTAAGTCTGATAAGAAAGGCACTTATGATAAGGAAAGCACTTTGGGTGTAGCCTTATGAGATACCCTGTGGTATACTTATGAGATAGGAAATATACTGAAAAGGCCTGAAAACAAACTGGCAACTGTGCACTATTTTAATATTGGAAATATATGAACCCTCAAGCTCAGTGGTTAAACTTTTGGCAATTAAGTTTTTCCGTTAATTACAGTTTTTAGATTATCTTCAAGGAAAGCTTAATGAAAAATACTTTATTTCATGGATTTAGATCCCACTTTTTTTCTGTAGGTACTAAGATGGCATATATATTGTTCCATCTTCCAGTTTTTTTCCACATGGAAAATAATTCTTGTGAAATAGGCTGAGCTGATTGACGCTAAATCACTCGCTGAGTTTCTGTGGTTGAATGAGAACTTAAAGCTTAATTTCTCTGCTACTAGAGCCACATTATATTCACTATGCCACACTTAGATTCCTCCAGGAGGAAGTTACCAGAGAAGGAATCGTAGTACTTAACTAATTTTACTTACCTGGCCTCACCTGGGTGATCAGTCAAAGCTTGTAGAAGAACACATCTGCCTCTACTGACCTACAGAAATTTAGGGAGTGCTCCCCTATTCAATACAACATTTCTCTGACTAAAGACCACTTAATCAGAATGCCACAGCTTTGTCATGTCTCAATTTGATTGTGCACTCTACAGCGAACTTCATTTGTTGGGTGGCTTAAAAGAACAGCAGATAATCAATTATTGGTCCTGATATAGCCAGCTATCAGAACTACAATTGTGTTTATGAGCTACTTTCTGCCTAGCTATACTTTCAATTTAAAAAAAAAAGCCATGGGAGTTGATTGCAAAAAGAGAAAAAAAGCTGTCAATTGTTCTGAAATTTTTGAAATATCTGTAAGCAGTACCGGTATTTGAAGATAGGTGAATGGTTGCTCGCAATCCCAGGTTGCAAAAGGATACAATTTTCCTTTCCTTATAGCACCTATGTAGAGCTGCATTCCTCCTCTGTGCATTCAAAATATTTATGTGCCACATCCCTCTGTCATCTGCATGCAACTAGTTAAATTTGGCCAAGTACAGAAGGAGGAAAAGGCTTTAAAAACAAATCTGTATCAATCCTCTTGTGTGGTACTGTTGTAGCTGTAGCCTGTCGTCTGGGGGATTGAATTACATTGGTGCCTTGAGTGGATGTTTCTGTTGTCCTGGAATTCAGGAGTTTTCGGTTCTATGATGCCTTAGAAATACAGTAGTGGCCCAGCTTACCGGCTGCTAATTTAAACAAATTGTTTTGGATATAGAGTAATAAGTTGTTTTGATAGAAATGGAAACAGAAAGAGATAAAAACATTCATTGCTAGATATGTTAAGAAAAGATTCTGTCATCCTCCCCCTTACACATTGCTTTGAATAATAATTTATGGTATATTTTTTTAAGATTTCCATAAGGTTGTAATTTTATCCATGTTTAAAGAAGATAACATGTCCAGCGAACTAGTTATTATTCAAATAGTATTTAAGTTTAAAATTAAGAAAGATTATGCACTACAGCTCTTTCAAATCAAGACATCTTTATCTGAAATATATGGCTTGGTATGCAAATTTGTAATAACTTTCTTACTAAGATAGCACATACCTGTATTTATTATCTCAACTTTTTATAATTCTCTAAAACATATAGTTATTTGATATGAAGAAAGAATTATTTTCATATCTACTGTTTGATAAAACATGGTTAAATAATGCAAGCTACCAATGTTTGTATTCAGATGGAACGAAAAATATAATACAGAGCTAAAAATACCAAAATACCTATTCACTTCAACTTTGGAAACTAACTAAAAGGACTATGTTTGCTCCAGATCCTTGTCTAAGGGTTACTGCACAAATAATCAGCCTATGTTGGAAAGTATCAGAAAAATAAACCAGCAAGATGAATATATACAATGCTAAGAAGTGATAATTTAAAGATGAAAAGTACAAACATGGTTATTTAATCCTAATAAAATATCTGCCAAAGGTTTTTCATTTCACTGAATTTCTTTCCATTTCCTTTGCCGAGTACTTGCAGACAATCGAGATGGTATGTTACCTAATTCAGTATGGTTCTACATTTCTGGATCCAGACTAGCAGCATTGATAAGCATCAATAACTAGATGTATATTTCATGTATAATGTAGTTACAGTATCCTGTACAAATTCTGCATGCGTTTGAAGGCTCTGTGTGTCCATAACAAGAGTCCATAAAAAGGCAGAGGAAAATGTGATGTCTTATGCATTTATCTCTCTGAGTTTCTTGTAACCTATGAAGTCTACTTTGTTACCAATTACTCTTAATTAGTTACTGACCAATTTGTAATAGAGCTCAGATGCTAGTTTTGTTTTGTAAGAGTTAAGGGTTATTTCATAATAGAAAACAAGGGAAGTTTTTCCTTCCTGTCGCTTTCCTTTCCATTTGCCAGTTTTGTTTTGTTTTTAGAGGAGAAAACATCTTGGTGCAATTTGGAACATCTAAGTGATGAAACAAGGACGTTCATGTCACATTCATGTGAGCCTAGTGAACATGTGGTCACATGACTGATCGTTCACATATATGTGTTTGTTATTGTACAACAATGCCACTCTATATGTTTAGGAGCGAAGCAGAATTGCCATACTGGAACTATGTCAATTATGTGATAAAAATATGATTGATTCCCGTGCTGCTCAGGCCAACTAGCACGTTTACTTGAGCCGTGGTGGCACAGTGGTTAGAGTGCAGTACTGCAGGCTACTTCTGCTGATCACCAGCTGACAGTAGTTTGGCAGATCAAATCTCACCAGGCTCAAAGTTGACTCAGCCTTCCATCCTTCCCAGGTGGGTAAAATGAGGACCCAGATTGTTGGGAGCAATAGGCTGACTCTGTAAATTACAGAGGGCTGTAAAGCACTATAAAGTGGTATATAAGTCTAAATGCTATTGCTATTGCTGCTTTCAATGGTATGGGACACAGCAGAATGTCTTATTACTGTAGGAAGCAAGTCTTTTAAGGTATAACTGAGCACAATTGGAGCAAAATACATTGAAAAATTTATTATTTGTTTGTTATTTGTATTTCATATTACCAATAAAGGAGAATATTTGTAGCTCAGGGTTGAAATGAAGAGTCCTTGATGCTCTCTGGGCTTAGTCCTTGATGCGCTCTTGAAGACGTTTTAATATCCAAACTAGGTAACATCATCACTGACTAGCACTGATGATGTTACCTAGTTTGGGTAATGAAATGTAAGAAAACAACCAAGTTCAGAGAATACCAAGGACCACTTGTATTTCATGTTTATAGACCACCCATTTACCTCAATTTTGGAACCCCCATGAGATATTGCCAGCTATATCCTCATAGGTAGTCCCCAAATTTTGAACCACATTAAAGCATTGTGGATGTTAATAATGTTAATTATTAACACTTCTTCCCATGCACAAGATGGGATATCTTTCCCTTTGCCTTAAGCACATCTTGGGATCCCTTTTACATGCCTCACTTACTAACATCTTGCCCTTCTTTTGGATAGAGGTAACACAATGTTTAGAAAACAAGAGCTCATTTTTAAAGAATGCTATTGCTTTTGAGTTTTCTGAGTATTAGTGTGGATCGTGGACTTTGGGTATTTAGAATCCAATCTAAATTTAATATGGCCAATTAATGCTGAGCTCTTGTGGTTTGCCCACTGACCAACTGTTGCTGGTATGTTAAAATAAACCATGCTCCGATAACAAACTCAAAATAACAATAGCCAGAGGCATTAGGAGTTTGGCAGGAATTCCCCTTCACAAATGTCAGTTCTCTCTTAATCTAATCTGCCCTTGGTCTTTGCTATGAACATCTGTGGCTGCTCTTCAAATACATCCTGGAGGAATATTTATATAAAAACCCAGAGATGGAATAAAATCCAAAACCTCCAGTCAGGAGCATTTAACAACAAAGAAGCTGATGTACAGCATTGCCTGGGGGGGCGGGGAATGCCTTAAATTGACCTTGCACAATTGTAGGATGATGAAGTAAATTTGTTTTCTTAGTCTATAAATCCATTTTTGCTCTTTGTCAGTGTAATCAGAGAGTAAACTGGGGGTTCGGGGATATAATGAGCTTCTGGAAAAGAAATGTAAGAACGAATACTTCAGAGAAATTTGAAGGTTGGTTTAGGATAAAGGAGGCCTTGACAGTTTCTGTTCAGCTGATCTGGGATTGGCTTTCTATTCCTCTAATCCCCCAAATTCTCTGATGCTTACGATGGTTTTGCTACCTACGCCAATTAATTTCCAGTCTAGCTGCTCCGGAGAAAATGATTGCAAAGATAGTTTTGCACTGTTTTCTGTAGAACTGAGTGTGCTAGACTGGTTCCTTTTGGTAGACATGCTTGCCTTATTCTGCCACCTAACTCCTCAGAATTTCACCCACCCATTCTGAAGTTAATGCTTCATTAGTCCTTGGCATCATCATCCTCTCCCTCTCAGTCTTTCAGAGATGGGGTTTTGTCAGTTTCCTGAAGTGGCCAGGTCTCAGTGAAGATCACAGTAAGAAAGGGAGGAGGAAGAGGGAGGGAGTGAAGCACTAGCTGCAGTGATGCTTTTCTTCTTTCTTTCTTTCTTTCCTTCCTTCCTACCTACCTACCTACCTCTTTCTTTCTTTGCTTTTAAAATACTTCACTCAGCAGTAAAGTAAGGAGGATACTCCGCATGATAGTAATGCCTAAACCATTGCATATTCCAATTAAACTTTTTTCTAAGTAGATACTCATCAAACAGCCATTCTCATGTATTCTTCTGTTTCCAAACAGCCCAGTGCTCCCTCATCTTATTCCCACCCATCTATTGATGTCACTTAGTACAATAGAGATATGACTAACCTAACCTAGCCTGAACCCTATACAGTAATTACAGACATAGAATTTAAGGTTATACCAAGCCTAACAGAAACATAAATATGAATAAAATCTAAACACTAGTATTCCACAGTTTGGATCATGATTTATACAAGCACTTACACATTTATTTTATTTTTATTTTTCCAAGCTTGGTATCATCGCTTACAGCAATTAACTAACAAACCAAAACAGATTCCAGAAACTCATCACATTTACTTTGTTTTTTGCTGCAATTCCCTCCACCTTCTACATTTTCTCCACTTGTTTTCCTTCTCAGATTTTGAACAACCATTCATTAATAAACCGGAGACTCTTCTTATCTACAAGAAGGAAAATATCTGTGTCCCATGCCTGGTATCCGTTCCAGATCTTAACATCACTTTGTTGTTGGTAAGCAGTGTTCCCTCCACCCCGCACAAAGATTCAGGATCCTACCTTATTGGCAAGCCTTCCAGCATGAACAAAAACTGGGGGGGGGGGGAATACTCCAGGAGATAGAGAGAAAGAAAAAGGAAAAGGAAAAAAAACCTGCTAAAACTATGACCTTTGAAAAAATTTCTCCCCCAGAAACCATGTTTTTCTTTTTCTTTTGGTCTTTATTTGCTTTTGTATTGCTTTCTTTGGATTTTCTGTGGATTACGTTACTATGTTAATGATTTTCTTGGAGAAGCCTAAAACCACAACACAGAGGTTTTTAGTAAAAGAGAAGAAATTTGTGGAGGCAACAAAAATATTTCACTGGTATTGTTTTTTTCTAAGTGCCTGACACAGCAATTCAAGAAGGGCAGTTTTTAGAAACTGCAGTGTTTTTGAGACAGTTATAAGAGCTATTTCTTACAACTCCTGATCTTCTTCTTTCTTACAACTTAAAACCAAACTCAGGTTTGCTCTCAGCCAATTATTTTCTTTGGCAAATATATTAAATGATACCCTGCCAGAAGCCAAGAATATGAGTTCACAAGCCATGTAGTGCTTTCATTTTTAGTCTCCTGCTCAGGAATTGCTGCTATCTGCTGATAATATTTAGGTCACATTAAATATTTTACTTTTCCTCTTTTTTTAAAAAAAACCCCGCTTTGTTGTCTAATAGAAGCCATTCCGGTTCATTGGGATAATAATTGGTTGATAAATGATTCATTAGAGTTACTGTAGATAGAATTCACAAAGGAAGGTGCCTGTGGACATAACGGCAAAGCAAAGAATGAACAAAGCTCAAATGGTGCTTTATTTCATCAACAAGACAAATCCTAAAAGAGGAACTGGCTGCAAAAGCCATTTGGTGGAGAAGTTGTGGAAATTGTCCCTGCATTTCTAAACAGACTTACCAAAATGTTACTTCTAGACAACTTCTGTCATCTATCCCGATGGAAAGAACGTTCACTGGGACAACAAACGAGGAATGCTGGTCCCCACTCTTCTGATCAAGGATTCCTGGTTTGTTCAGTGTGAAACTGTCATTAATAAGAAACCCTTCAAATCTAGTTTCTTCATTGTCCACATTGCAGGTGAGTTTTGAAATTGTTTGTTCTGCAATGGTTATATAAAATTGCAACTAACAAAGAACTTCTTTAAGGCATGTTGTTACAACCCTGGTTTAAACTGTGGCTAGGTCATCGTTTTAGAGAAGGAACATCTGGCATGAATCCTAATCCCAGTCCAGAGCCTCTGGGGCAGAGATACTTCTCTCATGCTGAAGAACCATGAAGAACTCCAAATATATCTGTTTCCATCTGATAAGGATTGGAGTAACGATGCTCGATGATGAAATACACCAGTGGTGGGATTCAAATTTTGTTACTGCCGGTTCTGTGGGTGTTGTGTGGCTTGGCGGGTGTGGCTTGGTAGACATGGCAGGGGAAGGATACTGTAAAATCTCAATTTTTTCCCCACTCCAGGGGAAGGTTACTGCAAAATCCCCTTTTCCTTCCGATCAGTTGGGACTCGGGAGGCAGAGACTAGATGGGGGTGGGGCCAGTCAGGTGGTATTAATGGTTCTTTGAACTACTCAAAATTTCTGCTACTGGTTCTCCAGAACTGGTCAGAACCAGCTGAATGCCACTTCTGAAATACATGCTTGTAAACATAGGCACTGACACCTTCACACTCTTAATTTCACCCCACCTCTATTACTTCTCCATATCCCAATCATTAATCTGTCACTTTTCCATAACAGCATATATTTTTAACTTTTGCATGTTGCTAACAACAATACAGTTGTACTATATATTAAAAACAAAAAAGCATCATACATGAAGGTGTAAACAACTGTTGCTGACAGAAATTATTGCAAAATTAGACGAAAGTAAAATAACATTAAAATTGAAGGGAAATAAGAAAAACATTGGTGCAAATAAAATTATATATAAATATTTTTAATATAATGGTACTTCTCACTGTTTTTCATGGCAACATATTTTATAAGGCATATTCCTCATCCCAAATGTATTTGTTCTCTGGTTTTGGCCACTACAACATTTGGACAATTGTAGGGTGATGATTATTATATATGAAAGAGATTATTGTTTTTAGGCAAGAATTTAAACATTCACTCCAAGAATTGCATGAGAATACAGTTCAATGGCAAAAAATTTATCAAATGTAAGTAAGTGGGTCTAGAATGCCAGTGAATCTGCAATGTATAATTTTACCTTACATAGTACCAGTTTAATCACTTAAAGCAAAAATTATGTTTCCCAAGGAAAAATTGAACTCTGTTTAAATAGTTGTCTTTTTCTTACTACGTTTTCTACCAGGAAATGAGCTTTATGATATTCAGTTGTTTCCAAGGAGGGCCATGGAGCTATTGGTGGGAGAAAAACTAGTTATCAACTGCACAGTATGGGCTGAATTTAATTCAGGAGTTGATTTCCAGTGGGATTACCCAACAAAACAGGTATGAATTAACATTTGTTTTTCTTTCCTTTTTAGCCTCTGTAGTTAATATGCTATTTTTATTTGTGAAATATGCTATTGTTATTATTTTTGTTATTGGTCTATAGACGGGAGGGAGGGAGGGAGGGAGGGAGGGAAGGAAGGAAGGAAGGAAGGAAGGAAGGAAGGAAGGAAGGAAGGAAGGAAGGAAGGAAGGAAGGAAGGGCAATTATCACAAGGGCAGACTAGCTAACCCAATTTTCAATAAACTTTTGCTGAGCTACACAACGGCACAATAAGCACCACAAAACAGAATCCTTTTGTATGGACACAGCAAACTTTGTCTTGAGAAATCCTAGAACAATTTCCCTCACTCTGGGGCCCTCCAGATGTGTTGCAGCCCCATTTCCCAAGAAGTCTAATCCGCATGCAGTATACATGTCAAAATCGGCCTGGCACCATACTGAGGAAGGCGTTGATGGAATTTAAAACAAGCATCCCCCAAAATGCTCAGACTTTGCAATGCTAAACACTATTGAGGATGAAGAGAAGGTGGCCTCCCGAAACACAGTGGGGTGTAAGTTTTGCTGCAAAATATACCGTTGTTTTCAAAAGTAAAGCATGACTACACCACCCTATTGAAGAAGACAATAATCTGATAAGACTTAAACATGGCTAGATAACACAGCATTTTAGTTTTAGATTCTTTCTGATCCCCTGCATAGTAAATAATGCAATAGATTGCCTGCAGCAAAGCCTATTGCCAGTCTCCTGCTTGAGAAGAATGTCAGAGCTCTGAAAACCATAAAGATTTTCGCAAAACTATAGAAATGAGGGGTGACAGTTGCTTGGTGTTTAATGCCATTCTGTCTACCCTTCCCCAGAAAATAAAAACAACCAATAGAAGTCTGGAGGGCTTAAAGAGAGGAGGAAGAGTTTTCAAAAGTTTCCCTTTTGAAAAACGGTGTTATGCAACTGATCACACAATCCTGGCAGCTGGTTTGGGAATCAGCAATCACACCCACGCACATATACATTTGCAAATGCCTACCAGAGGCCCACAAAATGTTTAACACACTTAGCAGCTCCAAAGGCTGGACAAGGCCCAGTTCAAAACATAATGTACAGTGCAATGCTCTGCGATCCAGATGCTGCGGATAGCCAGATGTTTCCGGGAAGCCCACCCCCGGACACTGTAATTGGTGGCACATTGTTTCTACATATCCTGAATCCGTTTTCCCATAATCTTGATGGACCATGTACAACAGATAATTGGTTCCTGACCCATAATGCAGCTACTCAGATCACTTCTTTCTGGGCCTCAAATATCAGTGTTTTGAATTCCTTCCATGTTTTAATTTTTATATGTGTTATATAGTTATTGGTGTTTTTTTAATTTAGACTATTATACTAATTTAAATATTTTATCTTTCTTTGAATGTATGATGCCCAATAAATAGATAAATAAACCCATCTAACCTTTGTTAGCATAACTAATAGCCAGTGAATGGCCTTATTATCTTCTTCAATATGTCCACAAGTAAAGATAAAGATTCCCTTCGCGCATACGTGCTAGTCATTACTGACTCTAGGGGACAGTGCTCATCTCCGTTTCAAAGCTGAAGAGCCAGCGCTGTCTGGAGACATCTCTGTGGTCATGTGGCCGGCATGACTAAACGCCGAAGGCGCACGGAACACTGCTACCTTCCCACCAAAGGTGGTCCCTATTATTCTACTTGCATTTTCACGTGCTTTTGAACTGCTAGGTTGGCAGAAGCTGGGACAAGTAATGGGAGCTCTCTCCGTTACATGGCGCTAGGAATTCAAACCACCAAACTGCCGACCTTTCTGATCGGCAAGCTCAGCTTCTTAGCCACTGAGCCACCGCCTCCCTTGTCCACAGGTGAGGGGCGAGTCCCTTGTCCACAGGGAGTCCCCAATCATAATTGGGACCAGCCACTCTGTTGCTAAATGAAGAGATCGTTAAGGGAAAACATCATGAGATCTTGCCTATTCATGAGGGAAGTTCCAGCAATCTTGGATGAGGAAAGTTTAAGTGAAATACCATGCAACTCTGATTTGCAAGCCCTTGCCGGTTTCAACATTGGTTTTGCATATGAGAAGCTGGCTGGGACTGTTCCAAATGACAATCTTGTTGATCGCAATTGTCATAAGTGTACGAATCATGAGCCTTTGACCATGGAGATGCTGCAAAGTTCATAGATGTGAGGACCATTTTTTATGAATACCATTGTTTTAGAACAGAATAGCAGAGTTGAAAGGAATCTTAGAGTAGAGTAGAGTAGAGTAGAGTAGAGTAGAGTAGAGTAGAGTAGAGTAGAGTAGAGTAGAGTAGAGTAGAGTAGAGTAGAGTAGANTGAGTCAACCCTGAGCGGGTGAGATTTGAACCGCTGAACTGCTGATCTAGCAGTAGCCTGCAGTGCTGCATTTAACCACTGCGCCACCTCGGCTCCCAATAGTAGCGCTCCCAATGGGTGAATCTGCTCTTTCAAGGAGGGGGACATCTTTTACTAAAATAGACTATAGCTTTGTCTCCAAGTGCAGCTATACAACTACATAATTTTAGCTTCTGATGCTAATATTTTTTAAATAGACAAGGACAAGGACAACTTGGTTAATTTTTTTAAGAGTTCTTGAACTGCACCATCATTTACCTCTACTATTTTCAGTGTGAATCCTGCTGGTTTGTAGCATTTAATACATGTTGTGAAGTTCAGCCACAACTGAGGACAAGTTAAATGTCTTATTGGTCAGGCCAAGAGCTCATTTCACTAAAGCCATACTGTCCACATTGTTACTATGTTCGTTGTAATTTCTGTTTAGATAATGATTTTGAGCAAGAGCCAATACCTAGAATGTGGTTGGAATTGCCATGAAATGACTCCAGGATTTGAAGGAGGGCATTCATGTATCAGAGTTCTTTGAGAGCAACTGAAGATGGTAACTGAATAGGAAAAAAGACAAGTGCACTCTCTGACAAGTTATTTTGGGCACCTTGGCTGACCTTTGACTCTTCCCTCCAAATGTGCCTCATTGTTGTTTTCAATATTCCTGAAAAATTGCCCAACAGTAATAAACAGATATAAAATTCTAGCACCTATTCTATAAACCAATAAAGGAGAGTATTTGTAGCTCACAGTTGAAATGCTCACAAGCAAATGCTTGCTTGTTTTCTTGAAGACATTTCATTACCCTAACTAGCACTGATGATGTTACCTAGTTAGGGTAATGAAATGTCTGCAAGAAAACAAGCAAGCTCAGAGAGCATCAAGGACCCCTCATTTCAACTGGCGCTACAAATGCTCTCCTTTATTGGTTTACAGAATAGATGCTAGAATTTTATATCCTTACTATTGGACAATTTTTCACATGATTGAAAGAATACTTTTTCGAAAACTCACCAAATAAAATGTTAACGTAAGGACCTGGTTTTCCTTGACATCCTGGGGAAAATGTTCTATATAGTAGTGTTCATATGAGTTTCCAAATAGTATCAACAGGTTTAATTATCATGACAGTGAAAGATGCTCTTTGAGAGAGATGATGTGTTTTCATGCCTCTGAATTTAATTTCTTCTAATATCAACTCTGTTTTCTCTTTCCCTCTACCACTTCTGGCAGATGAACCGGAAAGCCATAGAACTGCCCGAGAGGCGGTCCCAACAGACCCATACTGAACTCTCTAGCATCTTGATTATCCAAAATGTGAGCCAAGAGGACCTGGGAAAATACACATGCAAGGCTAGCAGTGGGGAGCAGAACTTGAAGGAGAGCATAGATGTCATCGTGCATGGTAAAAAACATTAACTCAGGCTAAGAAAACCTTTCAGGTTCTTTTAGATTCTTGTTAGCACACATCAAAACTCTGATAGGATTACAATTCCCAGCAGGATCGTTAACCTCTGAGCAAGTATCTAATGCTTTGGCTAAAAAAAAAAGAAAAATGTGGCCTTGGGAAGGAATTGAGGTGGTATGTTGCCATATATGTTGTTCTCCAAGTGAGATTTAATGAGATAACTTTACCAGAAGTAATATTAGTACAGGATTGCTGTTCTTGTCTTGAGTAGCCAAGTAAATATCAAGCACCAGGGAAATCAGGACATCTAGGCAGCTTAAACATACATACATAAAGATTTATTGTAAGCTTAAGCTTTCTACAATAATTTGAACAACTAATGTCAAGGGAAATTAGTGGGAGTTAAGAATAGAAAGGAATTCAAGGTGGGCTGGACTCTTGTAGGCGTGAAGGGACTCTTGACTGATAACGCATTTGACCCCCTCCTTCGGTCTCAGCCTGGTCATCCACAGTAAAGGATGTATTGTTTGGTATCTAATGTATCAAGAAGTTGTTCAGTTGCCCTCCATGGTCCTAGGATAGGTATGTGCATATTACTTTACAGAGAACAGCTGAGTACAATGACTTTTTGAATAATTAAGTACCCTTTTTTAATGTCAAAAAGCAATGAGTATATTAGCTTCCTGCTGTTTTTCATCCATGTTGTTGATTTTAAAACAGTTTAGCTTCAGTTTCATATCCTGTATACAGTACTCATACTGGATAACAGTGCAGCCAAAATAGAAAAAATAAGGCTTATGTGTCTTGGAAACATCTGGATGTCCAAGAGCTGCAGATGATATATTTATTTATGTGTAATTTATTAAGTGTAACATGCCCTTTTTTTGGCCACCCTCATTTTTCCTGTTAGTATCTATGACTGGCACATTGCTCAGCATACCATATACAACTGAAGATAATCTTTGGCCCAAAGAACATTGTGCACACTATTGTAGGAAATGTGTAAGATTAATCACTCACAAATGCCCATTCAAAAACACTACTTTGCTTGAACAGGAATATTCTGGCAAAAGGAGTATAAAGTATTCAATTAACTTCTATGATGAAATAATATTTGTTTATTAATTCTCAAATTGATGTCCTTTTTTGTTTTTTCCAGTATGTAAGGCAGCTTAAAATAAATAAATAATGTGGGATACAAATCATAACAGAAAAAGCAAAATTCAAATCTATCAGTCAATTAATTAATAGTAAATCTTAGCAAAATAAGATATTAACCATCCTCCTAAATTGTAGGAGAGCAGGAACAAAATGCCCCTCCTTAGGTAGACCATTCTGTTGCCTGGAAATCAGACAGGAGAAGACTCCTTTCTAGATAAAGGTAAAGGTTCCCCCGCACATGTGTGCTAGTCGTTTCCGGCTCTAGGAGTGGTGCTATCTCCATTTGTAAGCCGAAGAGCCAGCGCTGTCCAAAAACATCTCCATGGTCATGTGGCCAGCATGACTAAATGCCAAAGGTGCACGGAGCGCTGTTACCTCCTCACCAAAGGTGGTTCCTATTTTTCTACTTGCATTTTTTTACGTGCTTTCAAACTGCTAGATTGACAGAAGCTGGGACAAGTAATGGGAGCTCACTCCCTTGCTAGGGATTCGAACCCCTGAACTGCCGACCTTCTGATCGACAACCTCAGCGTCTTAGCCGCTGAGCCACCACATTCCTCCTTTCTGTACACTCAATAACAAAGTTTCTGGCAGTATTCTGGGAGCATCCTTCTAAGGTCATTTTCTCCTCATCTGAATAACTGGGCAGCTTCTTAAATAAGCACATTAGTATTCCTAGTATTTTTTTTAAATCAGTCAGTATAGCACTGTGCTTTTGTGGCATAAAATGTAAATTGGTGTATCATTTTTATGTCTGGAAAAGAAGCAAAGATGTAGTGTGTGGGTCTACATCCATAAAATTATAAATTTTCTAAATATCTCTGTTGTTGCATCAGCTACTGTGTTTAACAACTCTGACTCTTTATCCCACCCCTTTCTTTTTTTTTATTTATCCAAATGGTTTTTACAGAGAAGCCATTTATCTACGTGGAAAGGAAAAAGGGCCCAGTGATAGAAGCAACAGTGGGAGACGAAATTGTGAAGCTACCAGTAAAAGTGGTTGCCTATCCCCAGCCTGAGTTCCAGTGGTAATACAGTCCTTTCAGAGTCTTCTTTGGATTGAGGGGGCAGAGGAGGGAACTAGAAAAGAGAAAAACTACTACCTGACTTCGTTTGTTTGTTTAAGAAAATTTATATTGCCGTCATTTCACACATGAGGACTCAAGGCAGATTATATGAATTTATGATGTTTTTGTGGCAATCATTAAGTGAATAACTGCTGTCATTAAGCTAATTTACTGTTCATTATGGGGCATTTGGCCAAAAACCAAAAGTAAACACTGTTTACTAAGTGCGATCACATGGCCAGTGAGGTTGCTGCTAAGCATCTGAAATGTGGTCATGACTTCCAGAATTCTTAACCAGCCTGAAGGGTGCCAAATTGGGGGAATCTCCATAAATATTTCCCCTTACCTCCCTCCCCCCAAATAGCAATAAACCAATGATAAATCAGTGCATATACTTTTGGGGGGAGACGGTGCTTCTCAGCAAATTTCAGAGAAAGCTTTTCTTAAGGGGAAAATGGGTGAATGGGCTCTTTTTCAGAAATTCTTATTCATTGGCTGAAGCCCCATGGTTACCTTTTAGAAGCTTAAGCTATATCCATACCTTCTTTCTCTGCTTCCACCCAGGTTTAAGGATGGAAAGTTAATTTCCAACAGGCAATCTCAATATTCCCTCCAGATCAAGGATGTGGCAGAGCAAAACTCTGGCTCTTATACACTGGTCCTGAAGAACGGGTTGGCTGGACTGGAGAAGAGCATTAACCTTCAACTGGTAGTTAACGGTGAGGAAGAACCAGAGGACTTACGAGAAGTCTTCAGCCATATAGCAGTTAAATCTATATTCCCAATTTGTTTTATTCCATGAAAATAGTTTCCCAAATCTTACCAATTTAGGCATGATGTTAATCACATTTTTTGGCACCAGAGCGTGGTTTTTAAATAGGATCCAAGGTCTGGGATGGATCAGAATTCTGGCGGGACAGATGAAGATCCTGTTAGTGTCATTTGTAATGGAGGAAGGCTATTATGGACATCACACATCCCAATTTAAAAATGAAGAGATAAAAGCCTCCAGTTCTACTATCGCAATAGCAATAGCACTTAGACTTATAAAGCCACTTCACAGTGCTTTACAACTTTCTCAAAGCGGTTTATAGAGTTAGCATATTGGCTCCAACAATCTGGGTCCTCATTTTACTGACCTCAGAAGAATGGAAGGCTGAGTCAACCTTGAGCTGATGAGAGTCGAACTGCTGACAGGCAGCGGTATTAGCTTGCAATAACAAAATATTATGTAGTCTAGACTGTACATCAACATACAGGTAGGTAATCCTTCACATGTGACCACAATTGGAACCAGAATGTCCATTGTTTAAAAAAAGGCAGTTGTTAAGTGTTTTTCTAATTTTACAGTTTTATTTGCCATGGTTGTTTAGCAAATCACTGTAGTTGTTAGGCAAACATGGCTTAAGTCCATAGTCATTAAATGAATCTAATTCCCCCATTGACTTTGCTTGTTGAAAGCTGGGTGGGAAGGTCACAAATAGTAATCACATGATTCTGGGTCTATTGTACAGGCTTCCTGGTTTCCAAGCGCCTGAATTTTAATTACATGACCAGGGGGATGCTACAACAATTGTAAGTCTTTTTCCCCCAGTGCCATTGTATCTTTGAACGGTCAATAAATGAATGGTTATAAGTTGAGGACTACTTGTATTTCCTTGGATTTGTACAGGTAGTCCTTGACTTACCAGAGTTTATTTAGTGGCCAAAGTGACGACGACAATGAAAAATGTGACTTACGACCATTTTTCACAGTGACAACTATTGCAGCACCACCCCATAGTCATATGATCAATATTCAAATACTTGGCAACTGGCTCAAGATGGTTGCAGTGACCCAAGGTCATGTGGCCAACTTTTGTGACCTTCTGACAAGCAAGGTGAGCGAGGAAGCCAGAGTCACTTAACAACCATGTTACTAACTCAACAACTGCAATATTTACTTAACAAATGTGGCGACAAAAGTCATAAAATGGGGCCAAATTAACAAATTTCTCATTTAGCAAAAGAAATTTTGGACTCAATTGTGGTCATAAGTCGAGGATTACTTGTAGTTTTGTGCTTTTCTCTTTTTTCATCTCTGAATGTAGTAATTCAGTATTATTTTTGCCATATTACATGGGAAAGGCATGACATGCTAAGATTGGAGTAGGAGCAGTTGATTGGTGCTACGCCATTTCCTCTCTGTGTGTATAGAATAAAATTTTATATGTAAGCTGAAAACAGGTTTATCTTCTTTCTTTCTTTCTTTCCTAGTTTTATCTATATTCTTTTCATTTGTGTTTTATTTTGCATTTACCAGGTTACTTTATCTTTTTACTGGGCAGTGTAAGAGCATATTTAAAAGTTTCTGGGAGTTAATTCTTCCCAAGAGAACAATATGGATGACTAAAAGCAGTAGCAACAATCCAAAATTAGGGAGAGTTGACCTGGTGGAGTTTTGACATGTGAATTGGAAAGAAGGGCGTAAGCAGTCACCCCAAATGGCGAATAATAAAACTGGTATTTTATCACAATTATGATTTCAGTTCCTCCACAAATCCTTGAGAAAGAAGCCTCTTCACCAAACATTTATTCTCGTAAAAACCGGCATGTACTTACCTGCACCGTCTACGGCATTCCAGCTCCGGAAAAGATACAATGGCAGTGGAGGCCTTGGACACCTTGCCGAATGTTTCCCCAGCACAGTCTGTAAATGTCTTTCTTTTTAAAATATGCACTGAATTCTCAATAGAGCACAAGGAAAATTTTGACCGATCTAATTAGGCCAGTGCACATGTGCTAAGTCAGCCGCATTGAAGCCACTCCATTTGCATCACATGGCTGCTTTTTCTAGACAGAGCAAGCCTTCGGATGCAATTGAGGGTTTGTGCAATTTGGCTTTTTTTTGTATGAAATGAGTTTGAATAGTGATAGTGGAATACTCTTACATTATATAATCTGTCCTTGATTTAGTAAAGGCAGGACCATAATATTAGCCAAGAGCTAGGTCAGGTCTTTTTTGTGTGTTTAAAACGCACATGTAAAAGACTTGACTATTTGTGTATGTATAATAGACTGATATATTTATGTAAATTTGGATCCAATTCTGTAGATGAATATTGATGAAATGCTTTGACTTCTCTTACAAGTGTGAATTGCGCTTTCCAAATGTCTCAGAGCCATACAAGATAAAAAAATGTGAAGTATCCACAAAAATTTCTGATTGGAACTGAAAGCGGGCTGCTGTCAGAGGGAGGCTTTAAGTTTTTCTTCCATCCTTGAACATCCTATTTCTAGGGCTGTGGATTTGGATGCAGAGAGGACAAGGTGCTTTGGGTCATTTAACACCTCCAATCACGTGCAATATCTAACACCTCCTAGCAGGCTCTTAAACCAAATGGGTCTTTTGCCAAGTTGGTGTGGCAGGTTTACAGAGTTGCCAGCTGGAGAATAAGTGAGCACTCCATGTAGCCCATTGCACCTCCTCTTGTACAAAATAACGCAGGTCCCTGTTATTTTCTATTTAGAGAAAACACAGTCTTTCAATTGTTTGTATTAAGGCACAGAAAAAAAAGGAGAAATGGCAGGTCTCTAGGATTTTTAAAAAAAATATCATCTAAAGAAAATTTGTGCTGCTGGCTGAAGATTACTAAATAGAAAGTAATGGTTCTGTTTTAGTGTTTGATTTAAAAGCAGATTTGGAAGATTAATGAGAAAGTTTTCAGAAGTGTATTTCAGTAGCTTTGTTACTCACCAAAATAATACATGAAACTGAATCTATTCATGCCATTCATGTACCTTAAAAGATTCCATTAATATTAAGAGATAAACCTTTTATATGAGTAAATGGAAGGTGATATTTAGAGTTAAAGTAATCTCCCTTGTGGTTTGATGATACCTGATGATAAAGTCTAGCAGTGACTTTATAGTAAGTTTATAGATATTTATTAACACTATTAAATTCCAAAAATGATTACAGATGCTGGAAATAAGTTTTCTATTTGTTAACTTAAAGGAAAAACACTCTTCTGATAAACAGATAAGCTGTATCCTTGTTATAACAAAAAAAAAACCAGTAAACTGAATAATGAGTGTAAGTAAAAAAAAGTTTAATATTTGATTTTCAAGCCATAGTAAATCAAGAGGATTTGTGTTCTCAAATCAAGAGTTTTTCTCCAGAGACTAAGACATATTTAAGAAAAATGTTCTTGTTCTTGCTTCATCAAGCCTATTTGTTTCTCAGTCAAATTGGCAAAGCACAATAATTCAGATAATACAAATTATCCTGAGGAACTCTTAAATGGACCACACAGAACTGTAATTTAATCCATTGCATAACAAAACTAATATCAGTTGCTGGGAAATCACAACAAAAGAGTACTGATTTCCTTGTGTTCTGTGGTTGGTCTTCTTGGTCTTCTAGTTGGCCATGGTGGGAAGCTGGAATCAGAATTAGTTAGGTTGATTCATCTGGATTCGTATAGAAGATTCCATTTGTATGCAAATTTTAGATAGCACAATGATTAATTGCAGTATTAAGGGTTGGATATATAAGTAAAAAGAGATCTAGAAATACATATGGAAAGTCTTCACTGCTTTTGTAAGCGGAAATTCAGTTGCTGCTTGTCGGAGTGGAAGGTAAAATCGCAACTCAAAAATGGTTTTGGACACAGATGTGTGTATTTAAAGCAGAAAGCAGAATTAGTTATAAGAAAGCAAAATAAATACCTTTCTAAAGTAAAGAAGAGGAGTGAAAATAAGCATTTTCTAAAAGATAGAATAATATTAGTAACTCAACAGCTTCCACAGATTGCTCTATGGAGGAAAATAGTTTTGGATTTTAAAAAATTTAATTTTGCTGAGAGTAGTATTTGGTATAAATATACATTGTATTAAGACATAGTTTGCTCAATTATGATTTATTAAGTAAATAAATGGCTGATGTCCCATAGTTTGATAAACCCCAAACCAACAACATATGGCTTAGCACAGTATGTGAACCCTGCATGGTATCAGGAACCAAATGTCAAACTATTTGAGAAGTCCATACTGCTAGAAGAAGTGAGAAGAAAAAGAAATGACCAGCAGCAAGTAGTTAGTATTGATTACAGTGGTGATGGACAAAGATTGGGAAACTTGAAAGGCCAGCTTGGGAACAGTTCATCCTAGAGATTTACTGGATAGTTACTAAGAACTGACACTGAATTAATCAAATAAATCAAGGAAGTCATGCAGTTGGTAAGAGAAGCTCCTGAAATCTTATGACTTCACTTAGCCTACTTTGTGTAGTTTGAGAAACAGAGATGTTAACCACCCTTTTTCTGGTCAGTTTAGCATAAGCATATATGTTGATAATGCAACTTTGCAATGCTACCTTCTAGCTTTCAATGTTATGGTGCTTGTCCTGTTCTTTATGACTCTCTTATATTTTAGCATTGTCCAGGGTTTTTCCTGGTTGTCCAGTTAATGGATTCTTGTTTTACACAGAAGCATTGCTTGGCAATACATGCTAGACCCCAATACAGTGAAATTCATTTCTGAAGGTTTTTGGGAACACAGACAATGATAGGATCTCTATCTCAAAATGGTTAATGCACAGGAATCAAACTGTCCCCTTCTTCCTTCAGCTAGGACAATGGGCAGCAAACATTTATTATTATTGAGACAGAAAGTGACCTCTACAGTTGAAAGGAATGTGATAGCAAGTACCACCGACCCAGAAGGAAGTGGAGCATCTATAAAAATACCTATGTCATAACTGCAGTGTGACTGGTTAAGGAAATCAGGGCATTTCCAGTCCCGTCAGAAGTCTTTGTATCTCTGTCAAAAGGAAGAGGAGCTAGTGATTTATGAGCACTGTCTTCCAAGGCCACAACTTTTCTGCTTATCCCAGTTCATAATGAGTTCCTGTTTTTAAAAACAGGTTCTCATTCTTGCTGTGTATCAAAGTACAAAAAAAATGTTTTTTGCTCAACATCTCTACTGAATACACATATGGTGCGTTCAAATTATCCAAGGACTCTGCCCACGTACAGTAGTTATCTTCTTCCTTTGTATGTTTTCTTCTTTTGCACTTTCCGAAAAGTGGTATCTGCTGGTCTCTGGATATCAAGATTCTGTAAATCCTTCACAGCTGCCAGTCCTACCATCTATAGACTTGTCATTCTCCTATTCAAGCTGCCTGACTTAACAGCCTTCATAATAAATATGGAGAAATTTTATAACAAATGATACATTGTATAAAAGTCTATTTGGATTCTTCATTTCTTGCTACTGATCAATTTTAGTGGATGTCCCCAACATTCTGGCTTCATTACAGAGTAAAAAAAATATTCATACCCCTTTTTAGGTACATGCACACAAAATTGTATTATGTTCCGTCTTGCTAAATTTATCCGCTTTCCCTGTAAAGCATTGCTTCCTTGTTAGGGTCTCTTATTTTTTTCCATTTCTTTCTCTTTTGTGGGTACTACATAAACTATAAAATGAAGCAGACCAAGGGCTGTACAACGCCATCAGAGGGACCGGATGCCTGAGTGTAAGGACTGGAAGGATGTGTCACAGATGGATGCTGTGAACCCCATTGAAAGCATTGACACCTGGACAGAGTTTGTGGAAGGAAGGAACAAGGTGAGGCCATTTCCCTGTTTTCTTTCTCCATTGGAAAGAGGTAACAGAGAAACACTTCAAACTTATGAAATGGAATATTATCTGGTAAATTCAAACTATATTGGCTTTCCCGTATTATCATTTTTGATATACGGTTCATTCAACAATTCTTTCAACAGACTAACGCGACATCCAAAGCAAAGTTGAAAGAAAAGAATTGAGAAAGGAGAAATGAATTGAGCAAGTTTGCTTTGAAAAGCTAAAATTATTTAGTGTTTTCACTGAACAAACTTGTCAGTTAATGGAAAAAAGATATTTGCTATAAAAGTATCTACTGAAAAAAGGCTCATGATAAAATTGGTTTCATAGTGTACTAGTGAATACACTCATAAAAAAGAATGTGTTCAAGATTTGGATCTGATCAGACCAACAGTTATACCAGTGGTGGGATTAAAAAAAAATTATTACCAATTCTGTGGACATGGCATGGCTTGGTGGGCATGGATACTTTCCCTGCCATGCCCACCAAGGATAAAATTTCCATTCCCACTCCTCTGCAGGGGAAGGTTACTGCAAAATCCCCGTTCCCCCACCCCCGGTGAGCTGGGATGCAGGAGGCAGAGAATAGATGGGAGTTGGGCCAATTAGAGGTGGTGTTTACCAGTTCTCTGAACTACTCAAAATTTCCGCTACCAGTTCTCCAGGACTGATCAGCACCTGCTGAATACTTCCTTTGAGTTTCACCTATTTGTATATTTTCTGAGCTATCCTGCATGTTCTTGAAATCTTGAGAAACAACCTACCTTTCTTTCCCAAAAAGTATTTCCACAAGGATGCATTCATATTACAGCCCTCTAGCATTATTAAGATGTTACTTTACTATCATTGCTGGTTGAAGGTTTTTACCTGCTTAGTGTTTACAAATAAACAATGCATGCCATGCAATTAATAGCATACTCATAATTAACTCTGTAGGTGGGATCAAGCAATTTATGAGACTAGGTCTTAATATAGGAAGTGCTTACTGAAATTAAAAAAAACCTCAAAGAGTACAAGACTATTTTGTCTGTATATGCCAAATATGCTGATACTCGGATGAAATTCTTGCTATCTCTCCAAACTGACAGAAATTAAATTATACTGAGATAGTACTGATATATTATTTTATTTAAAGATTTACAGAGAAATAAAACATAAACATGAAATAATATAAACTAAAAAAAAGCAAAAAGTCAAGTAAAAGTATGAAAATACTTCAATTAAATAATGCCATTTATCGGGACTTCAGAAGCAGGTTTTCTCTGTTAGCAAGACATGCCCTCCATAATGTGGTTCCCCTGAGAGATCCAGACGATTCCTTCCATGCTAACGTTTTAAAGGCCTATGAAGGTTTTAGCCATTTGCACAGGCCTTTGGTGACAGAGAGTCACCTATTTGGATTGTATGGGTTTAATTTTTTTTTTATTTCTGTCTGGGTTTTCTTCTTCTTTTTTGTCATTCTTGCCATCCTCTCTTCATCTTTTTTGTCTGTTATTATATTTTTCAAAAGTTTATCTTTGTAGACTGCCCAGAGTCATTGGGAGTCAGGTTGCATGTAAATTTAATATGTTGTTATCATCATTATCATTAATGCTTCTGAAAAATATGGTAGAAATATGCATTTTTTTAAATCCAGAGTAAAGGAGCAAAGGAAACTCAGACTTGAAGTCAACACCTTCTCTGTATTTGTCAGGTGCTTCTTAAAGAAGCTACACCTATTCCGAAGCTTAGACCCTTGCCCCATGGGCTGAGGAAAGCATGCATTTGAATGAAGGAGGAAGTAAGGCAGTGACTCTAAGTATTTCCTGGGTCCATAAATCTACCGACAACTATCAGACCAGCCAGTGGGTATAGAGAGGTGCCCACACCAGAGCCAAAGCACCATTACACAGTTTGGAATCACAATAAACTTTCTCATTTGAATGTTCCATTTAAAGATAAACCAGGAATTACTGTTCTTGAAAAAGAGCTAATGTTGAAATAATATACAGCAAAACATTTTAACAAGCGTCCACATTGTAAATTAAATTATGAAATGACATAAACTCAGATGGAGGATGACTTTGCCTTTTAATCCCTTTAAAATCTGTATTGCTATATAATTATCTAGTATTTGTATTATCCAGTGCTAGGGTTGTTGAAATTGGCACTGCCTTATGTTACATACAAGTTCTGTTTATCTCTTCTAAGTAGAGTCAGAAAAATAGTACCTATTCTTTAGTTAAATTCTTCAGTTGCCAATTTTCCGTTACTCTTTACACACCTATGTGCATTAATTTTTTTAAAGGCATCGAGGATAGATTTTTTCTGGCAAATCCCAGTCTCTTAAAGTGCCACTTTCAAAATATTTTTATTTTTCTGTATCAAAATTTTATTACTTTATCAGAATATAAAATACAAAGGAAAAAAAAGGGAATTAAGGGAAGGGAAAAAGAGAAAATGTGGGGTAGAAAGGAGAGGGAAAAGGCATTGACTTCTTTTCTTAATACAGTAGAAAATAATAAAATTACAACCTTAACTTTTTACTTTTATGCAATGATATTAGAGGTGGGTTGTTGCCAGTATGGCCCTGATCGGCCGAATCTGTAGTAGCTATGACAGGAGGCTCTGCCCACCTGCCTGGACGCTTCTGCGATTGCTCAGAAGTGTCACATGGGCAGGAGCGCACCCGAACCAGTAGTAAAAAAATTGGCAACCCACCTCTGAATATTTTAGCTATTTTTACAACAACAAACCTATTTAATCAGCAAAAGCAAAATCAAAGTTTTATTTTTCCATCACAAGCACAAAATCCAGAAGTGATTTCCAAATAAAAATAAAATTAGATATACAGTATTAATTTCTTCAAATAAAGCAATCTGTTTAACTATCTTCCTTTATTTTTTTGCTTACTGTGGAAAGTAGTATATATTCTACTTACACTTATTAATATTTGTCATCATTGTCATCATTTATATTAGTCATGATGGCACAGTGATTAAAATGCACTATTGCAGGCTAACTCTGCCCACTGCTAGGACTTTGATCTTGACTGGCTCAAGGCTGACTCAACCTTCCATCCTTCCATGATTGATAAAATTGTAAACTGCTAGTCAAAATACTATTGTTATTGCTATTAGCAAAATTCATTATACTTTTTCAGATTCTTTAACTTTAAAGTGAAAAGGCTTTTTTTACATCCATTTTAAAACTATTTTTTTCTTTAAGAATATTTATAAAATCAATAAATTTTAATCATCTTTTTAAACTTCCTCTTAACATAAATACTTTCAAATGTACTTTCAATAATATTTTGTAAGATTTAGGAATTACGCATTATATACTGTATAAAGAAAAAAAAACATTTTCAGACTCACTTTACAAATATAAAGCTACATTAAAACATTATTTCAATTACATATATCAAACTGGTAAAGAGCCATCCTAATTCCAATTAACTCATTAAATTTGTTACTCCTTCCAGCTTATCCTCATAAAATAAAATATTTTTCTTCCTCAGTTTTCCGTTTTCGGTTGCTCTTTCCATACCTCTGTGCAATATTATTTTTTTAGAAAAAAGGCATTGAGGATAGATTTTTCAGGTAAAATAGTTCCCAAATCCAAGCCTTTTAAAGTACCACTTCCAAAACATAATTTTTCTGTGAGGCAACTAAAGAAGATATATGGAAGACAGAATTTTAAAATGTTGCATTTCACCCATCTGAACACATATCAATGATATGCATGTACCTCATAGTTGGTGGATAGAATAAGCATGTTTACTCGCAAAGTGTATTAGATACCCTACACAACTAAGGTTGGTAAATCTGAAAGCTTCAATTGACCAGAGGCATGAGGGTTTGAAGTTCAATATTTTTTGGACATCTCTGGGAACGACACTGGCATATGGAATATTGCATATGGAATATTGCATATGGAATATAAAAAGAATGAACTATCATGAACAAATGAAAGAAATGAACGAAAGAAAAATAGTCTTGTTGTTTATGTCACTAAAAGAAAAGGGAAGGATTAAATGGATGCAGTCTGATCTCATGGATTGGAATTTATGAGTATATATTGAGTAGTTTAATTATAAATTGAGAATCATAAAGATATTGATGATTCTGGACACCAAACTTCTAGTATTTTCCAGTGGCTTATAATAAAAGTGGTATTAGTATTCATAACTCTGGTTTCCTGGCTTGGTCTACCTTGAAAGGCTGCTAAGTGACTACCAACTAGAACCAGTCACTGAGGAAGACTGGAAAACAATGTCCAGCTCTATAACTGATTTAGAAAGTTACCATGTCAATAGTATTAAAGGCCATGAAGAGAACCATAACAGTTTCTCTATCACCATCTGGGCAATAATTCTCCTTATTGGCAAACAAAACGTTAAGGATTTTAAAAGGGAACTTTCTGTTTGCAGCATATATATTCGCTGACCTGTGTACTTCCTGCTATAATACAGTAGAGTTCTATGGCAAATACAACAGCAGCCAATCTATGATATATATATAAAATCTTGATGTACCAAAATACTGTAGACTGTATTATTTAGAATTGCAGATTATAAAGATAGTATTTATCCAAATTTTCTGGGTATATTATTCATTTACTTCACAATGGAATACATATTGAATTTAATTCCAACCCCAAATCAGACTGGTTGTTGAAAAACAATTCCATTAATGGAACCATGAAATGTTTGCATTGATCTAGTTAATAAACCTGTCTATGAGCAAGTTGCTTGGATAGTAATATGTCAATAAGCATTTTCTTTCAGTAAATATACTGGAATTGTTTGAAAGAGTATTGCATTAAGAGCAGTTATCAAAAGAGCCATTCAGCTTCTTAAATGGATTTGAAAAAGCCATTCATGTTTTTGGATCCCAATTCATTGTGGTCCAGCCTTATGTGTCAAAGCATATTATTTTCTGTTTCTCCTTCACTGGGGAGGAGAGGAATTCTTAAGGCAATTTACTTAAGTAGTGAAAAGCACAGGAAACAGCTCTTCACTTTCTCCTGCCCGTTATTCTCCACTGTTCTATATGTCACTCCTACACATAAGCTTAATGTACATCAACCTTAGAACTGGTTTTAATTTGTCAGCCTACCATCGTATCCAGTATATTTTTGAACAAATGGTTTTGTTTGGTGTGATGTTATTTTGGAATATGAGACATTCCAGTGGATCTCTAATGGATGTGATCCATAATTTCTTTTAGGGAGGTTTTTTTATCTTGATCTATTATCTTCTTTAAAAAGCCAGCATTTCAAAGTTGTTTCTTTCCACTATGCTGGTAAATATAATAAAGCGACAGGATCATGCATGCCTTTCTGTGACTAGTTTCCTATTCTAAGTGACAGTGTCAGCTACCAAACTGTGCCCATGATAGTGATGCAGGCAAAAGAACAAACAAATGGCTTCCAGTTTCCTCAAGTCACTTCCTGTTTTCATGTCCCTCCATGATTACTTCCTGTCCAAGTACTACAGTCAGGAATTCTTCACAAAAAGGTGAGAAATGATGATAGGAAGGAAAGAACCATGTTCTTGTTCTGCTTCGATTTGAATTACGCCAAGTAAAATTCAAATTGATTTATGCCAAGTTTTCCAAAGTTTATCTGAAGAATAAAAGAAGTGGATTTGGAAATGCTACTTTGATTAGCCATTTGCTACATTTCTCTTCTCAATTTTTTATTTGTCCCAAATGATTATCTGGCACATTGTATAATCTACATTTCAATCCTGTACCAACAGAAAGTGAAAAAAGAATCAGATTTGAAAATATCTTGAAATTCCGATCCATGCATTTGTAATTTAGCAAGACATCAGGACTTTGGAGGTATAGCACTCTCTAAAAAATATATGATATCGAAAGGAGAAGTTTACACCTAACCTCTAGCAATAGCTTGATGATCTAAGTTGTTTTCCAACATTCGTGTTAGGTTTTGTGGGGGAAGTTGCTTTGGGATTCTTAATTTGATAGGACTTGTTTAGGTGTTTTGTTTTTTTTACAAAATAGAAAGTAAGAAGAGTTTTTAACAATTTGGCCAAAATTAGATTGCAATTGTTTTTAAGTTATAACAAGATGACCCATGACTTGTTAGGTCATTCTTTCATAGCTGTTTCCTTACCTAAACAGAATGATCACAGGTGGAGGGAAAAACGGTAAGACCAGGATCAACTTTTGACTTCCTGCCAGCTTCCCCACTGACTTTACTTGTGGGATGTTGACAGGGTTAGAAATCACAATCACCTGATCACAGCTGACCATGGTAGCACACCAGATCTGTAATGGTCACAGGTTTATCAATGCTTGAAGTTTGAAGTTGCTTCAGATTTCAATTCCACAGGAGTAATGGGTCCTTTTTGGATTTTGGAACACATTCTTTAAGTAAGTCCACTTAAGGTACCTTGCTTTAAAAATTGTTTCCCATAGGATGCATTCTTTTGCCTAATTGAAGTTTATAAACAGACAAACAAGAGAAATTTATTACTATGTAGATTTTCCAGTCCTATTGTTTTATTTTGAATTATATTACATTGCTAATACTGTAGTATACAGGAAGATATGTTTATTAGTGTGGTGTAATGAAAGGTATATTTCTTTGGAAGAATGGAAACAAAGAGAGTAAATTTCTGGCTTACAGGTTATCCTTCAAATAATTCTATTATATTGCTTTTATTCTGTTTTCAAGTGCTGTTAGCCCAGAGTAGTGCATTTTGTGATGGGATGCAACCATATAAATTTAACGAATTGATAATAATTAGTGGACTGTAGCAATAATAATCTCAATGTTTGCCCATTTAAAAAAAATGTGAGTTGCAAAACTATTTTCTTTTCCTATTATTCAAAAGTAATTCATTTTAATATGTTTTATTACTAATAAAAAATTAATAAATATAAGAAGTACTAAAATAAAAAAAAATGGGCATCTGTCCCTTTAAGACATTACCACTGTTGAATTAGACATGACTAGAATAGTAAAAAGTTTTCTCCATTAAAGTAATTTTTGTTTACACTTATCAATGTTTACCAAAGTAAATAAATTTTGATGCATTACAGAATTAATTAGGAAAGATTTATTGAGTATTTAAATTTTTTTGTATTAACTTTTCTGGAAAGATCAAAATATATTAAAATTTCATTCAGACTATACTGAATGAGCATATGAATCAGGCAGATATTTTGATTTATTGTATTGTTTATGAAAGTGTGTAATTATGTTTAATTGTTGAAGGGCTAATGAGAGGCTGACAAGAAGAAAGCAATTATTATACACTAAATAAATTTTAATTTCAATAAAATTTTCAATAAAACTATTTTCTTTCTGAAAACAATATTTTCCCCTCAACAGTTGTTCCAAGCAATGTCTCCTCTAGATGCTTTTTGGAACAAAACTTCAGTAGGTTTAATAATTTCATGAATTTCCTGACCATTCTCTGGACTTTTTCATAACTGCACGATGCTAGGACTAAGTAGGATGTTTCTCACTAGAGCCATTCTTTTGTTGTTTCTGGAAATGCTGAACAGGAGTTCTGATTCACTAATTGCTATATTCCAGTTGTTGACAGACATAATGAAAAAACAAACAAGGCTGAACTTAAAACTTTTCAAATTTCATTAATAATGTGAAAAAGTTAAGAACAATATGTGGCAATATTTGTGAACCACAGTTTTATCTCAGAAGTACAGAATAATCTACAGCTATCCAGGTTATGCATTCATCGTGAGCGTCCATTGTCTTATTAACTAATTACAATTGTTTTGTTATTTAAACTCTGGCACCTATCTGCATTAGGGTATTCATACAACTTCTGTATCTAGAAGATATTGTTCAATGTGCCTATCCACCTGAACCTCCAATGGAAATTTATCCAATTTAATATTAATATAGTTGGTTATGTCAGAACTTACCATTTGTTGATATGTCCTGAACCATTATATTTATAATTTAAATTAGCATTATGCCTATTGTATATTACATATTGAATCTGTCCACCACTCTATATATAATGCAGAAGTCAAGACCAGACATCACATGTTTTTCATCTGTTCTTTCGCCTGCTGTGATAAAGGTGTTTGATCTGTAATCTTTCCTTAAGAAGAAAAGACTGAATTTTCTGATGTTGCTCCCTCTTAAATCTTCTTCTGTAAATAGAAAAAAATTCATGAATGGATTTTGTTGTTTCATTGAGGAGGGTATCTCAGTGCAACAGCAGCATCTTAGCACCAGCAGATTGATGGAGAATATTCATACTGAGCACACGTCCAATGAAACTGAATGCAAAGATAAAAGAAACAGCCCATAGTGTGGACAAGTGGCCATGAACATTACATGATTTTATTGCGCAACTTTCCACAGGGAAGAAGAGCTACTGGGATAGTAATATTCTTTGAAAATGTGTAGGGATGGGTGAAAGTCCTATATCTTTCCAAGTTAAAAACTTGGAGTTACAATACAGTTTGATCTAGTGGTTAAGGTATCAGGCTAAAAAGTGGTAGATGGTGTGTTCTAGAATCTAGCCCTTCCTTAAGTCATGATCGCCAGCTGGGTGTCTTTGGGCCAGTCATTCTCTCTCAGCCCAATTCACTTCACAGTTGTTGTTGTGAGGAAAACTGGAGAAGGAAGGAGTTATTAGGTATGGATGCCCCTTTGAGTTCTTTATAAATTCCTGGCCTTCAGGAAGAGCCTTTAGACATGGTTTCTGCTAGTTAACCTGGAGCCCCAATAGGGGTATAATAGGTTGAGGATGGCTGATGAGATAGAGAGATCTATACCCCATGTTGGCCAACCTCTTGGTGTTTTAGCCTTTATTGATCTTTCTTAATTTTAATTGTTTTGTTTTCTTTCTTATCTTTTTATTATACTATAAGCATAATAGAATCACTACGAGAGATGAGTGGTATATAAATGTAATAATACATAAAATAATAAAATAAAAACAATAATAAAGGCAGGATAAAAAAAATGTTTTAATCTGTTCATGTTGTTATTCTTTTTTCCTCAGACCATCAGCAACCTAATCATCCAAGAAGCCAATGTTTCTGTCATGTATAAGTGTGTAGCCTCCAACAAAGTAGGTCGTGATGAACGGTTGATTTACTTTTATGTAACAAGTGAGTATCTTAAAAACAGAATTCACTTAAACAACCTGTTATATAACATTTTAAGGCTTTTAAGGACTCCTTAATCTCTTTGAAACCTTTGAATCAATGGTGGGATTCAAATTTTTTTACTACCAGTTCTGTAGGCGTGGCTTGATGGGCATGGCAGGGGAAGGATACTGTAAAACCTCCATTCCCTCTCCACTCCAGGGAAAAGTTACTGCAAAATCCCCATTTCGCCCTGATCAGCTGGGACTCAGGAGGCAACAAATAGATGGGGGCGGGGCCAGTCAGAGGTGGTATTTGCCGGTTCTCCAAACTACTCAAACTTTCCGCTACCGGTTCTCCAGAACTGGTCAGAACCTGCTGAATACCATCTCTGCACTGAATGGAAATTGTTCATCAAAGTATGTTTGGTATTGTGTCTTCGTAATTAATCAATACAGAGCGCTAAAACATATATTTAATATTTGCTAGTCCAAATCATTATCAAAATCAAAATTTGTTGAAATTCTTATTTTAAAACTAAAAATCTATATATTTGAGTTTGCACTCTTTGAGTTTTTTAAAGTGCTTTATCTGAACAAAAATATGACAAAATATTTAAGCCATTATATGTTGAAAGTCATGTGAGGTGGAGAAGCAAATCAAGAGATGTTTTAGAGCAAAGAAAGAGAAGATTTGCCCTCCTATCAACACATATGCACTTTCAGGTTATCTATCTTTAAAAGCTGGCATTGCCCATTCCCAAGTGTTTTTGGTACAGTAGCACCACCTAGTGCCCTGCCATTGAACAGAATCTGCATATTTCCAATTTTAGAAGCTGAGCTTTTGAATTCTGCTTACTGAATCCACAGGACATCCAGAAAACATATTTGCTTATGAATGGAATAAATGTAAAACAGACAGACAGATAGCAGTTTGCACAACCATTAAGCTAAGCTAAAATGTGATTTAATGGTTTCTGTTTTAGAGTACAGTTTAGCCATTGTATTAACACAGCAGGTAATCATGTTAAGCCATAACTGAAATTTGGACATGGAGTGTTACGTGAATATAATCGCTGTGTTTTGATAATTAGGATTTGAGATAAGCATGTTCTATGAATGAAGGAGATAGTAGGGCTTGATTTTAATCTGAACTATTTATCTGTACTATAATGCCTGTACATTGATTTAGTAACACAGAATTCAACATGTGAAGATGTAGCTATATAATCATAGTAATTCTTTTATCATTGCCTGGATTAGAGTTGTTTATGGATCATTTATTTCAAATCTGTCTTTCCGACAGATGAGAATGAATGTGTGTGTGTGTGTATATGTGTGTGTGTATGTATGTATGTATGTATGTATGTATGTATATCTCGTAGATTTGTCTGTGGCTCTGTTGTTGTTTTGTGTTGTAACGACCTGGGTGGTGGGTGGGGGTTCGTTTGTTTACCAGGGCTGGTTTCCAGATGTCTGGTAGGCAGGAGGTATNCCCCCCCGCACAAACAAAAGCAGGACATTGTGGTACTGACAAAAGACACACTCAACCCCCTGCAAAATAAGCTGCTGCATAATCGATGAGCGCTTCCTAAAAAAAAGTTTCCTATTCTTAATAGGGCTTAACACAATATAGGGTGTGCTTAACCAAAAATTGCATCTTGCTTTCCTTAAGCTGGGAACTTGAATGGAGTTTCTGTGAATGAGTTCAGCATTCCCTGGGCTTCACGGAGGCGTGTTCTGATTAAGATCAGAGTAGGGTTCATTCTCAATTCCGTGTTCAGAGACGTGGAAGTGATGAGAATCAAAATATATCAGGGGCAAAGCTGGCAGAGAGCTTGCAGAGTGGGAAACTGAGAAGATGTTTTATGGAGTCAGGAGGGATGCCAGAACTATATAGATGCAAAGCCTCTTTGTCCTGACTCAGGAGTGCATTAAACATGGAATCAAGTCAACTGCTATAAGCTAAGAGTGAGTTGTTGAAATATGGAGTCCCTTGAGAACTAGAATCACGGTGGTGAAAACGTTACAGAAATCAAAGGTCAGTTTAACCTCCTCCCAGCAAGTAAAGTCCTAATATAGAAATCTAAATCGACATCATCTTTATTTAACGATCCTTGCGGGGTGGAGTCTGGGCAACTGAATGGAGAAAACAAAGTGATTTAGTGGCCAGATGCCCTTCCTGTTGCCAATGCAGAGTTTTGTTCAACAGATATATTCCCAGTGTGCCCAGAGAGAGAAATATCTGCCTCTACCTAGGATTGAACTCACAGCCACCTGATTGTGAGGCAAGAGCTCCACCTCTAGGCCACCATACCACTCCTAGTACAGAAAGCTAAATCAGGATACAATAACAAAGAAAATCTAAGAGGGGAAGTGGTATTAAGGGGATACATATAATGGCAAGGCAGGGCTGATGTCAATGTTGTTCTATTATCTAATTTTTCTCAGATTAGGACTTCTATACTTCATCTGAGAACATCCACCCAAACTGTGCTGTGACTTACTTGGGCTTCTTTAGGAAACAAAACTGCCTGGAAATCAACTTCTTTCTTTTGTAATTATGACTTTTGGCCTCTGCATCCTAGTTAATGAAACTGAGAAGCTGATTTTCATAGAAGCTTGTTCACTTGATCTCTATAGAACAGGGCTGTCAAACTTGCAGCCTGTTGTGGCTCGCCNGTTTACAGAGTCAGCATATTGCCCCCACAATCTGGGTCCTCAAATGGCCTATATAGGAGTCATGAATAATTTGTATACACTCTTCCTTGATCAAATGTCTAAAACATAGAGAACGTTTTTGAGGAGAAATGGTTATCAAGTTCAAATGGACATCTTTTTTTTCCCTGCTCAGCTATACACACTTACCTGGGCATTGAACGAAGAACACCGGGAGGCTTTAATTCTTAGTAAATATGCATAGAATTTAATTCGTGCATTGCACGGTAGTTCCTCAATCCTAGTGGGAAGTTGCTTGGGGAAAAAAGTCTTTGCATTTAATAGGCAAAAGCGACCTATTAATATGCTCACCTTCTTCTTTAGAAGTCTTCATTTGCATGTGACAAAAGACTATTTATCTTTTCTGATACACAGTGTATTAAAGCATGAGCACAAGGAGGATATTTCAGTCAAGCTCAGTTCAAGTGGCCTTTCATCTGCTATATAATGAGCTTTATAATTCCCAAGAAGAAATACCTAATTTCATGTTCATAGTTTCAAGGGTAAGAGGTGTTGCTTCCCCACCCCCCACATCCCCAACCAAAGTTCTGAAAATTCTTATGGGAGAAGACAGAAGAAGAGAAGAAAGAAGAGAGGAAAAAAAGACAGATGATGCACACCTTAGATCCTATCTTGGTACTTGCTTTTCTGGGTGACTAAAATGATAGTTGTTGAATCTTAAAGGCATTAACCTTCTTTGCAAGCTGAAGGCTAGGGATGCAGAAATACAAGAGTTTATCCAGAAGCTACCTCTGATGTGGCAAGGAAAAAATACATAAGATTAAAATTTACTCCTGGAGGCTAAGGTTATCTCCTGAAAATGGGAAAATAATAATATATATATACATTAATCTCCAATGGATTCCCAAGAAAGACAATTACCAACCTAATCCAAAGGGAGACTCCCCCCCAAAACCAAGACACAGAACTGGAAAACGGCATCTCTCTCCTCCTTTACATCAAAGACACCACAGATAAAGTCAGCAAAATTCCCCACAAACACAATATCAAGACAGCCTTCAACACTGACCAAAAAATAGCCAACATCTTAAAAAAAACCAAAGACAAAATCCAGCTAGAAAACCAAGGAGTCTATGAAATACCATGCAAAATCTACCCTGCAACATACATAGGACAAATGAACAGGAGAATAAATGCATGCATCGCAGAACACAAGAACACAGTAATAAAAGAAAAAGAAAAAATTTCCTCCCTTTTCCAGCACCTTAAAGCAACAGGACATGAAATTAATTTTGAAGGAACCAAATTAATCTCCAAAACTGAACACTTCAACAAGAGAATAATTATGGAAGCTACCGAAATAGAGAAACACCCCCACAACATGAATAAACGTGACGATACCTCCCACCTACCAGACATCTGGAAAACAGCCCTAGTCAAGAAATGAGCCCCACCCACCACCCAGGCCGTTACAACACAAAACAACAACGGACACACAGCCAGCACCAATCAGCATCAATCTACCAATCATGATACAACCACACAGCCTATCAATCCACTTACTGAAACAAAGCCAGCACTCCACACCCACCCAACAAGATTTATAGAAAGATGGAAGCTCCAACAATGCTTTAAACCAAAAACACCAGCCTGAAGATGGCGAGTGAGACCTCGCTGAAACGTTGCCAAGACAATTTGAATCTTACATGGGAAAAGACCTGAATACAACAAGACCAGCATATATATATTCAGGCAAGCCAATGTATATTTCACTGCCATGCCAAGCTAAGTATCCCTCTGAGAGCAACTAAATCACTTATTAAATATTAAGCCATTTATCTTCAGGTTACTATAATTACTTAACTTATAAAGGCATATGCAGCCTTTCCATATTTGATGCCTCAATTTAGAATAGTGAAGAAGTTATCAGGACCTTCTGAAATACAACAGGGCTTTACCTCATCATTAAGTTTCCCACTCCTTTGCAACAGGTATATCACAGTGCCTCCTTAGGCATATCTGCTCCAAAATAAATGGAACTAATTAGTTCAGCCAATCAGTTCAGGAACATTCTCGACTGATTTACCTCCCCCCTCCTCTCTCTCTTGATTCGCATTACTATGCTTTTTAAGGATCATTTACTTATCATTTAAGGACATGGTGGCTCAGTGGCTAAGAGACTGAGCTTGTCGATCAGAAAGGTTGGCATTTTTGTGGTTTGAATCCTTAGCGCTGAGTAACGGAGTGAGCTCCCATTACTTGTCCCAGCTTCTGCCAACCTAGCAGTTCGAAAGCAAGTAGAAAAATAGGGAACACCTTTGGTGGGAAGGTAATAGTGTTCCGTGCACCTTCAGCATTTAGTCATGCCGGCCACATGACCACGGAGACATCTTCGGACAGCGCTGGCTCTTCGGCTTTGAAAGGGAGATGAGCACCATCCTCTAGAGTCAGGAACTACTAGCACATATGTGTGAGCAGAATCTTTACCTTTACCTTATTTATTATTTATTTTATTTTAGAACATTTATGTCACCGCCTACTCGCACATGGAGACTCAAGGTGGCTTACAAAGATATAAAAAATATATAAAAGAAATAAAAAGAATAAAAAGAAGAAGAAAATAATACATTAGTAAAATAATAACCCCCACCCCAGGCGACAAAACACTTTCATACAAACCATTTAATGAGCCCCATCTTCTCTGGGTTCCCCAGGCTCACTGATAGAAACACGTCTTCAGCTCTTTCTGAAGGGTGGGGGCCAGTCTAATGTCTTGGGGAATATTGCTCCAGGGAGAGGGATCCGCCATGGAAAAGGCCCTTTTTCTGGTCTGTATCTTCCTAGGGAATGGGACCCACAAGATTCCTTGCCTCCCCGCTTTAATTATAGATACATATTTTTTTAAAAAAAATAAAAGAATTATCGTTAAAAAAGAAAGAAACAAAGAATAAATCACTATTTTCAGGGAGCACAGCCTTGATCCCACCATGCCTTATGAGTTATCCATTAAAGACCAAATTTGTATAGTCCCTTATCGTAATCTGGGATGAAACATCTGTGATTCTCCATTTGAAACAATAATGCCAAAACTCTAATTGAATAAACAAAAAAATAAGATGAGCATGGGATATATTAACCACATCCCCTCTTTCTTTTTCCTTCCCCCTAAAAACAACCCTCTTGATTTTAATGTTTATGGGGATTGCTTGCAAACTAAGATTCAACTGGTACTTCCTTTAGGACTGATTCTTTAATTAGACTGCATGATGTGTACACTTCCCTTCTCTTCCTCAATGCTTAATTTTTATGTTGCAAAAGGGAGATATCTTCTTGATATGC